CTGCTTCTTTTCGTCGTAAGCATCGCGGCCAAGGCTGCCCGACTCTGCGGGGGCCACGGCGATGGCATGGCCAATGCCGCCTTGAGCCGAGGTCACTTCACCGTGGTGAGCGGACGACATTCTCACAGCAGGGTCCGGGCTGAACTTTGATCTAGTTTCAACAGCGGTGACGGCGAGAGTCTCCAGGTCTTGCCAACAAGCGCTGCAGCGACAGAAACCTCCAGCAATAAAGATTCAGGAGACCCTGACATCGAGCCGAATGGCGAAATGAAGGGAAAATATTTTCAATTGTGGAGCATAAGATCCCATGCAACCCACGACAGACTCTTGCCCAGTTGGGCTCGCCGATGTTGTGGCCGGGTGGAGATGGGTTTAATCCCGGCCGTGGCAAAGAGTTTAGACAAATTAACGTCGGTCTTGGTCAGCGGGGGATTGTTGCCTGTATCTTGGCGCGCGGCAATGACAATGCCGTCCAGGTAGGTCTCTCTTAATTAAAAGATTTGCTCTATGACTCTGTCGGGGAAATAGCCTCGTTGTTCTCTGCATGAGTATCATGAGCTCTCCATTTCAGACCCGTTACTTGTGAGCCAACCCATCAAGATAGGCCTCAGCGACACTGTTCCTACCTGCCTTTTCTTAGAATACCGGTGAGATAATAGATCCCGTGGCATCGCATCAGCAAAAAAAGTCCAAATGTCAAGATGGCGCGTAAGTGATACATCAATGGTTGCCTTCGGCGCTGAGATGCCGTACCTAACCAGGTTCAGCCATCCATTCTAACCAAACAAAAAACACACTTATAACTCGAAATACCGCGGGATCTTTCCAAGGCTTTCCGTGAAAATTTCGGAAGAATATACGTCCTGCTCTGCGATCACTGAGTGCAAATTAACTGCATGCTACTGGGTTGTCTAACCGGCGCTGGCTTTGTTTTGAAGATCGATCTTTTACAACAACTGACTCAAAACCAATTCTCACAGATATGGCAGCTCCAAGTTCGCCGATTATCATCATCAATACGTGATTGCTCATCGAGTCTAGGAAGCTCCAGGTCAGGGTTCTATTCTTGTTCCAGGAGCTCATGATCAAGCCACACTACGACCTAGTTTTGAGCAGAATGATGAACTCCACTCAATTTTCCACGATCGATATTTGTTGTTAATTATATCGCCATGCCCTCACAGCGAACAAAAGAGATGTTCTGGAAAAGGTTTATCTCTCTTGATACTAACAACTGACCAACGTCGTACTCATGCTTGAATAGCGGGTCCAGTAATGGCAAGGTAAGAGGAGTGCGAGCTGTACGGTTGCTTTGATATAGTGACTCACTGGGGCACGATATCAAGCAGTTCCGCGCTTTTATCAACTCGACATTAGCTTTTCACGGCGCTAGAAAGTATCTTATTGTCACACTAATCCTGTGCCTGCGAATCAGCACCGAATTGAAGCAATTGCTGAAGCAATCACATCCGTAGAGATTCTTTTCCTAATTCACGCCGAGCCCACTGTCCAGCACGCGTAGCACGATGTCCTGCGACTAATATGAGCAGCAAGATGCAGCACTGGGCAGAATCTGTGTCATGACTGTGAGACAGTTTGAGTATGAGGTAAATATGAGCAATCGGAGGGACCTAGCCTAACATGTCAACGCAATGAATGAAGGGCTATGTCTTGACAAGCCTCCAGTTTCGCTAGTCATACATACTCACTGACATCGTTAGTTAAAGATTTTTCCGAACATCTCAATCACTGATTTCATGGTATTCGTAAGTGCCGAGGTGTGATATTTTAAGGACTGTTCTAAGAGAACGGGCAAGGGCTGTAGTAGCACAGGGTAGATTACCAAACTACCCTATAGCTTTGTTCAGTTGTGAAGACATTACACCAAGACCTTATCATACTCCACGAAAGAGAATCAAAACTTGATAATAGGGTCAAGAAATCCAAATCAAATCTTATTCTCTATCTTCTACATTAAGAAACTTGGATAGCGCAAAGTGAGCACATGTAGCAGTGTAGATCAACTTTAGGGTTTTACTACCCCTAGTTAGTAAACCAAATCAAAGTAACGTTAGACTCTGTGGATAACAACCTATTTCCAAGAAAACGTCTCAAACTGAACACGGCCTATCCTTCGTAATGAAGCAGATACGCCGTCCAAGTTGAGAAGACTAGACATGTGACCGGACCTAAGGAGGTGACTATCATGACACCGACGTCGCACTAGCTTCGTGCTAGTTGCAGGCCTGGAGACAGATTTGGCCATTAGATGGCAGGCTTTGCATGGGAGTGAAGATGTTGATCTGATAAAGAACGTGTTTAAGGTTGCTCACTGGCTGACTGACTGGCGGTCAGGGGCAAAAAGTCCCATCTCGCATTAAGGGTGAGATGGCGAAACCGATGGCGTGCTCACAACTTAGACCGACGCTACCGCCAACACAGATCGACGCTTAATTGCGTGATCGATCCAGCAAATAGCATCAACGTATCCCGCACCAACCAAGATCTGTCGGAAGCGCAGGAGGTTCCGAAGAGAGTGGGCTCTTGTGTCATTGGAGGTGGTGCGATTCATTTCTCCGAGATCCGCATTGCACTGCACCCCGACTTAGAGATGAGCAATCCCCATGATGCTGATGAATCCGATTGCGGGGTCCACGTGTAAAGTATAGGAGGTATAAATAAGAAGCCGCTTCTCGCAAGACCGTAGAAGGAGGCTGGTCATGTTCCTCAAACCAATTCATAACTATCACTCATCATGGCACCCTCTGCAACTGAGACCACCACCACTACCCGTGGCCCTGCCAATGTCCAAACCTACCACCTCCACCTGGACAAGCACAAGGAAATCGACACCACGCAAATCGACCGTGATGTAGAGTTAGGAAAGACTGGAGCTCCCGGAGCCAAGGTTTGTGACTGCTTTGATGCGCTGTCAGCAACCGGATCTTGCTAACTTGTTATTAGTATCCTCATTACTTGCCAACCTGGAACCCTGAAGACAAGTATCCTGCTCTGGAGCCTTTCGAGCATTACGAGCACGGAAAGGATGCTGATACATCTTACCGCAATCTGCTTCCTGAGGGCACCACAGTCAACCACCTGACGCCGTTCACGGGCACTGAAGTCCGTGGTGTTCAATTGAGTTCCCTCTCCGATGCAGGAAAAGACGAACTCGCTCGGTTCGTCGCCGAGCGCAAGGTTGTTGCCTTCCGCGGCCAAGACTTTGCCGATCTATCCATCAAAGATGCTCTTGAGTTCGGTGGCTATTTTGGCCGTCATCACATTCACCCAACTTCTGGTGCACCCGAAGGACACCCTGAAGTCCACCTAGTCCATCGTGGAGCCAATGACCAAAACTTCAAAGCCTTCTTCGAGGCTCGCACAAGCTCTGTTGCCTGGCACGCCGACATCACATACGAGAAGCAGCCACCCGGCACCACATTCCTCTATCTTCTCGATGGACCAGATGTTGGTGGTGACACTGTCTTTGCGGATACCGCGCTGGCATACCGTCGCTTGAGCCCTCTCTTCCAGCAACGTCTTCACGGGCTTAAGGCAACTCATTCTGGTATTGAGCAAGTGAATGCCTCTGTTGCAAAGGGTAGCATCAAGAGACGTGAGCCCGTTGTCAGCGAACATCCCGTTATTCGGACGCACCCTGCTACAGGCGAAAAGGCAATCTTTGTGAATGAGCAATGTGAGTTGAAACAAAGCTCCCTTGGTGCATTGAACCGAACTAACCGTACCTATAGTCACTCGTGATATCATTGGTTTGAAGCGAGAAGAGTCTGATGCACTGCTCAAGTTCCTGTACGATCACATTGCTCGAAGCATTGACTTGCACGTACGCGTCAAGTGGGAGGCGGACACGGTTGTGATCTGGGACAACCGAGTATCTCAGCATACTGCCTTGGTGGACTGGGAGAATGGAGAGCGAAGGCACTTGGCCAGGATCACCCCTCAAGCTGAAGTGCCATATGAAACTCCTTTTGAATCCTAGAAACAGGGCCTTATGATAAGATGAATAAATAACAAAACAAGCGTTGCATCCTTTCTAAGATTTGAAATCTGCTATAGCACTTCGAATGACAAATTTGATGAGGTCAATCCTATGCTTGATGCTCACTCCCAATTGTGACTCGCACCAGGATTCGTTTGGTAGTGCGTCACTGTATCCTACGCTCGATTATTCACAAATTCACTCAAAATTGTCCCAGTCGTGCATTGTCTAGATTTCTCCCAAACACCTGAGTTGGATCAGCCGCCATTGTGCGGAAGCGGCAGCCCTCATGGTGAGCTGATTGAACATAGTCTCCTGGACGTGGCGATATTCTAGACCAAGGTGCTAGGCACTCCCAACAATATTCATGGCGACACATAGTACCTATCAGTTTGTTAGTAGGCTTGGTTGGCCAAGGTGCTGTGCATGTTTGAATCAAAAATCCATTAGCAAAGTGAAGGATCATCACTTACACGTCATGTGAAAACAGTCTTCACCCTTTTCAGTATCTTGCCCACATTGGGGGCATTTCTTAGTATTTTGGGCTATCCAATCTCGCGTTTGCTGAATATCTGGATCGCCATGCACTCGTTCGCTATCGTATTGCTCACAGGTTTTACCTTGATGCCATGGTATCTCGTGTTTGAAGCACATCTCGAATTTGCAATCGCTGCAAGTGATACGAGGGTTATATGCACTGATATTCTCATACAGCTGGCCACTCTTGCAGGCAGGTTCTCCACGGTCACCACGATGGCCAGGGCGGGCAGGGCGGCGAGGGCGGCCTGGGTTAAGACACCAACGGAAATTCGGAAATTGACTCAAGACCTTGAGATTGAGGTACTTGTCGTATCTGTGTCAAAACAAGTTAGTTCTGGTAGTTTTACCCTGCAGAGTGCACGGGATCTCTTACGTGGTAAAAGTGTCAGGGTCTGCGTAAAGCTTGACCTCTTGATACACTAGACGGCGGCGGCATGCGTCGAAAGGGCAGGTTAAGTCCTCACATTTTGCCCGCCCAAATTCCTGTAGCTGAGCCCTGAGATGGTTCTGTAGGCATTCGGTACAGAAATTCAGATCATGGTTGCACTCTGTTGCAAGCTTCAGTGGGAACTTTAGCACCTCCCACATCCAGTCTCCGTTGAAACCGGAGCAATCCTCAACCCAGTTCCATATCCGACCGGCACCTGTCTCTATGTCGTAGATTTTCTCTACACAGTAAGCACACTCTTTAGGGATTCTTTTCTTGCGTATAAATCCCATAAGAAAGGCCACTTCAAGAGTAGCACCTTGGTGCTCGACACTTATCAATTTCGTTTCGGCGGGGTCGAAACTCGGCATATCCTCCCTGGACAGGATCGAGTTGGGAGGAAGATCTGCAATGTTGTGCATACGGCCCATTGAGATAAGTTGGAAGTACAATTCTGAGGAAACCTTGAGACCCTGGCCGTCCAGGCCTTTTGGGCTTAGACCTTTCAGTGTGTCTCTTAAGGTTTTAATGCGATCGTATCTAGAGTAATAGGTTAGCCATGGCCGGGCGATGTATGGGCTTAAGGTGAGCAACTTACGCTGCCATGTGCTTGGTGACGTTTAGATCTCCCAGATGCTGAAGCGTGGCCTCAAGTTGGTTCCTTCCTCTGATGTTCAAGGACGCGTCGCAGTTACCTGATGGGCACTTTACCCAGACACTCTTCTCCAAGTTGAACCAGTAGTCATGGAGGAGTGACCGAACAACTCCATCCAGAGCGCATGATTTACATATTCTAGCAGAACAGCACTGCGTTTTCTGTCCCAGCTCATCAACCCTCAGTCTGGGGGCTTGGTTAGTGCGTGTCAGCTTGGGAAGCTGGCATACACTGCAGCCAACAATGGCCATCTCATTGCCTCGAATGCTTTTCCCTAGTTTATGAGCATTCTTAGTGCTCAAAGGAAGGTCAAGACACTGATTAGTCAGTGAGGACAATGTGCATAGTTCCATGAAGCGACTGGCCCCAGGAATCTCTGAAATATCCTGAGAGGTCTGCGCCTGGGAGAGGGTCTTATGAAAAATGACTGTTCGGGCGGTGTGATGGTCGCCCCCAACAGCCTGTGTGGCTTCTGTCACTTTGGCTTCTGATAGCCGGCGCTCTTCTTCCATTTCTTTCCGTAACGCGTCTGTGGCTTGTTGGGATTGAGCTTTCACAGACTCGAGTGTGCTGTTAAGCGTGGTGAGTTTTTGAGACAAAGAGAGTTTCTCACTATCCAGCTGCGCCTTGTTTGCCTGTAACGCTACGAAGGCCCTGTCCTTTTGAAGATGACTGGCATTTAGGGATGCGATTTTGCTAGACAGCTCACTGTTTTGGAGCTCCAGTGAACGAATCTTATTGTTTGCGAGTTCCAGTATAGATTTTGAATCGTTACCTTGATGATCAACGCGTGCCTGGTGAGACTTCATTGTTTGAAGGTCGTTTTTGAGCTTGAGATTTTCATCATTTGCCGCCGTCAGCTTGTTGCTTAGAGTGGTCTTTTCGCGTCCAGCATGGGCTCTTTCGGCTTCGAGGGCATTTTTTGCTTCTTGGAGTTCAGCCTTTGTGTCATTATCGAGTGCTTCAAAAGCCTTTTCCAGATTTCTCTTTTCGAGACTATAACTCGCAATTTCCTTCGTCATTTGAGTGTTCTCGCGATATAGGCTGTTCTTGGCATTTCGTAAATCTTCAATGCAAGCCTTCAATCCGATATTCTCTTCATCAACTGAAGCCTTTCCTGCTTTCAAAGTGTCGTATTTATATTTCAGACTGTTCTTGGTATTTCTTAAATCTTCAACGCAAGCTTTTAAGTTGATACTTTCTTGATCGACTGAAGCCTTTCCCGCTTTCATAGTATCGTATTTGTGGTTTAGACTGTCCTTGGCATTTCGTAGTTCTTCAACGCAAGCTTTCAAACCGATATTGTCTTGATCAAGTGAAGCTGTTTTTGCTTTTATAGCGTCGTATTTCTGTTGCAGGGTGTTTTTCTGCCGGCTCATCTCGGCCGTGCTAGCTTGCAACTCGGCCATTCGTTGTTCTATCTGAGTTCGCTCTTGGTCAGCCGAATCTTTGGCTTTTTCTAAATCGTTTAGGGCCTTGTCTGTGAGCTCTTTGTCTAATTGGAATTTTCCAAGTTCCTGTTGCTGTTCATCGAGTTTCAAAACTCTAGCCTGAAGCTCCTCCTCAAGCCGAACGTTTTCTTGGCGTAACTCGTCGGCAGGGAGATCCATGCATTTTGACAAAGCGTCTTTTGCGGCGCTGAGGTCATTCACTTTTGATTCAAGGTTCTTCTGGATTTCTGATGCTTGCAAATTGTCAATCTTGTAACGCTCAAGCTCAGCCTCAAGTTGCTGAGTGTGCCTCATCAGATGAGTCTCTGCATGTTGCGACTCTCGTTTCAACCTCGTAATGTCTCCCACCAAAGCCTGTAACTTGAATCTTTCGTGTTGAATTTTTTCTTTTGCAGTAGCGGCTTCCTCAAGCGATGCTTGTAGCTGGCTATTCTGGTTCGCGATCGCGGTTTCTTGAGCATCCCTCTCTTGCGCCAAGAATGCATTGTGGCGACGCAGAGATTCCACTTCTTGATGCCAGTTCCTGTTTGGGTTGTCTTTGCTTTTGCCTTCTAACGGCGGATGTTCATCATCTGTTTCACTTGACCAGCCATCCGAATTTGACTCCATGGAACGTGGTCTCCTTCGTTCAACGTTCGCTGCAACTGATCGCCTTCTTGGCCTAGCTACTCTTCGGGCTTCACGACGATCTCCCCCTTGACGATCTCCCCCTTGGCTCCTCGCTCTTGATCTTGGACGAGACCCTCTCGGCATTGATTCGTGACGATCTCCGCCTCGACTCCTCGCTCTTGATCTCGGACGTGGCCCTCTCGGTATTGGTGGGTTGGATTCCTCTCCATGATGGCTTGTTGTTGATCTTCCGGCTGCGGAAGGACGCCTTCTCGGTCTCGCGTCACTTCCCTTGAATAGCCTCACCACGGCACCCGGTACCTTCATGGACAGGAGATTGGAATGAAAGTTAAGAGAGCTGAAATCAAACAACGAAGAGACTCCCAGAAGATAGCTCACGAATGGACGGTTTAAAGATGATGTTTCTAGGATGAGATGGTTAAGCGGTGAGATCGAAAAGAGCTGATTTGATAGATGTTACGATAGATGATCTCTAAGATTAAGTCAACAGCGCGTTGAAATAGAAGAAGGGTTGATACGCCCAGAATGGGATGCGTATTTATATATTTTATAGTGTGAGTGAATGTATATGGTGAGGGTCATCATTCAGGTGAATCAAACACAATGAAACAAGTATTTATGTACGGGGAACAACTGAGCCAATTCACTGTTCATTTTATGAGAAATGGCAGTTTCACCGATGTTCTTAGACAGCTCATAGTTCACGGCCTCATTTTAAACATGGCTTTCCTGCACGAACATAAGCTCTAGGAAAATACCAACCGAGCTCCGTATTACAAACGCAGTTAACTTGTGCCTAAACTTGATATAATAATGAGAAGTAGACGAAGAACTGGTATCAATGATCGAGAACGAAATGGAAAATCGTGACCATGATGTATCTTTTCGTTATTTAAGGCCTTGAGAATACCATTGCAAGTCGTGCATTCTGTGTCTCACCATCTAAACGAGTGATATTCCCAACATGTCGATTTCAAACAATAGAGCCTCAGGGTGAGACGAATGAAAAGCGCTGTGAATGTTCCTCCTAACGAGTCTAGTGCTCGTAGTTGAGATTATGTCAACTTTCAACACTCACTAGCATTGTGACTTGACGCCTAAATTTGGACCGAGTCTTACTTGCGTCATCATCCAATGTGATGCTACTTGATTGACCAGGGTTGCAGAAGTCCCTTGCTCCCCATGAGATGGTGTTCGCCACCTCAGGTGATCGTCACAATGACTCAAACACAGTCATTTGCAGATCAAATGGGTTGTCACTTATAATCCCTCGACAGGAAGCCAAAATCGTGACAAGGATCTGTACAACCACACTGCTCACATTCTGCATAATCATTGATACAATTACTGCTCAATTTTGGCATCACTTCACCTACCATTCTATTACCTAGACGGCATGAGCGAGTTAGAAAACATTCCCGGCCCTACCAAGGACTCAAACCTCACGTTTCGTGAAGTTACAGAGGACAACTGGCGCGCGGTAGCAAATTTAAGCCTCAAGGAGGGCCAAACTGGCAACCTCGCACCAAACGTGTGGTCTCTCTGCGAGGCGCACTATGACGAAGATGCTTGGGTTAGAGCCATCTATGCGGATGACACACTCGTCGGACTGCTGATGATGGCAATTTGGGATGCCGGTGGCGCATACTACATCTGGAGATTCATGATCGACGGCCGGTACCAGAACTTGGGCTACGGCCGACGAGGCGTTGAGTTTGCGATCGCACACATACGACAGCACTATCCTAAAGCAAAGCAGTTGGGGGTCAACTCGACGCCACCTGAGGGAAAGAAGAGCGAGAACCCTACCAAGAATGTAAAGCCTGAGGATTCACCTTATAACTTTTACCATAAACTTGGATTCAGGCAGACCGCACCCCCAGATGAGGATGGGGAGATCCTGATGATGATAGATTTGTAGACATCAAGGTCTACTCTGTACGGTTATCGCTAGTACTAACGATACGTTGAAACGTCGGGTTTTGGTAGTCCTTGCCAATATTTTATGGCTAACGGTTATACTATTCCTGCTATGTGCGAATCGAGGGCCTGGTAGGAGCGCGATCACGTTTCTTAAGGATGATTGGCAGGCTATGTAGGCTCACGCAGGGCATGATACCGATTTTGTCAAACTCATTGAACTTATTTCCTCTAATGCAAAGATCCCAAACCCGATGACAAGGTACAGAAAAAGAACAATCTAGCATCTTGATATAACCGAGGCATCTTCAATATTGATAACATTGGAGTCAATTAAAAACGCAAACAAGCCTTGATTGATGGCGTGTTTCCAGAGTGACTCCTCAGCATAGTCCCAACATCGAATCGTGAAAACGGGCTGGTCCTCAGGAAGATATCGCTCACTAGAACTGACACGAGCTAGTCCCACGAGCTCCATAGCTTCACTGAAACGACGGGAGCTCATTAAAGTCAGAGCAAGGCTGTGCATGCTTTCGAGGGTACAAGGATGAGTGTCTCCAAGCACTCGCCGTCTGGTACGCACCACCTCCATTTGCAGCTCCTCAGCTTTCTCCAACAGCTGCAGGCTTCGATATGTGAAGGATAAGCTCATCTTCACTTTCAAGGTTTCTGAATGTTCGTCACCTAGTGTTTGACTCATGACTTTTACCAACTCTAGGAGTAGCTTCTCCGCATCCACCCACCTTTCTTGTCTGTGATATGTGAATGCCAGATTTCCCTGAGCGACCAAGAGATCAAGTTCGTCATTGTCGAATACATTTCTCATGACTGCGATCAATTTGACTTGTAGGTCTTCGGCCTTTTGTAGTTCCCCTTGTTTCTGATATACTAGACCAAGATTTGTCTGCGCAGCCAGGACATCGGGATGCTCATCACCGAGGATGTTTCTCCTAGTTTCGATTACCCGTAACAGTATTTCTTCGGCTTCGATCCACCGATTTTGTCCTTGATAGATTCCTGACATGCTAGCAAGAATCTCCAGGGTGTCCGGATGATCTTCGCCGAGAATTTGCTTTGAAGCAGTGACCAATTCTGATCCAATCTCCTCGGCCTCCTTCCATCGGCCTTCGCATTGGTATATGAATGCCAATTGAGACTTAATAAAAATGACATTGTTGAAATCATTCCTAGGGCTTAATGATGCTCGTCCAAGGGCCCGCAACAACAATGTTTCAGCTTCAGCCCATCGATCTTGATCCCGGTATAACAAAGCTAGATCCATTTCGCTATGTCGGACATCGGGATGATCCTCACCGAGCACTCGCTTCCTTGACTCCATCACCTGCAAGTATAATCTTTTAGCCTCCTGCCATTTGCCTTGAGACTGGTATACCGATGCCAGGGTGGATCGAGTGACGAGTGTTCGAGGATCTTCATCACCAATGGCTTCCTTCTCTAATATCAACAGCTCCTCGAGTGTACGCGCCGCCTCATTATAACTCTTGTGTGTTTGATATGATTTCCCCAAAAGATGCATAGTATGAAGGGTTTGCAGGTCATTTGGCCCAAACAGCCGTTTGAAGCGTTCAAGAGCGTCTTCGAATATTTGAATCGCGATTGCGCCTCGTCCGAGACTGTTGTAACATTGGCCAACGTTCCGAAGCAAGAATAGCACATCCGGCTCGTTCATTAAGTCCGGAATATCTGCAATCGCCTTCCCATGGGGAAGAAACGCCGGATATTCTTTCAAATGCTCATAGCCTCCGTCTGGTATCAAGCATCTTAACCAGAGAATAGTAAGAACCGTGATTGCGCGCCATCTGCCACTTTCTCTTAGATGTTCTTGCACGATACCCGGAATCAGGGGATGAACGTCGTAAATATCGCCTTCAGTTCGCTTGCTCAAAAATGAATATGCTTTTAATGTGCCAAGAGCTTTCTCCGTGATGATGTCTGATTCCGCGGACAGGAAAATCGCTCGCGGGATGTTTTGCGGTGCAATGCAAGCCAAGAAGCCGAGGTAAAAAGCTGCAACCTTGTCCTCGTCTTCTATCCGCATAAAGGAAATCTTCCACGTGAGGAAAACAGCGTTTCTCGATTCCCTGTCTCTGTTGGGGTCATTGAAATCTTCCCGCAATAGCTCAGTCTGCGAACTGCGGCTCTTTTCGAACAGCTCCATATAGCGTTCTAGGGAGATGCCGTTTTTTCTGATGAACGCGATAGCCTGGATAATAGCGAGGGGGTGGGATATGACCATCTCTAGGAATCTGTCTAGACCGTTGTCTGTTAGGTTTTGTTCATTTCCGAAAAGTTTCCGCAACAGCTGTTTTCCCTCGCAACAATCCATCTCACCAAGCGGCCAAGCATCATGAGGAGCCACATCGACAGCGATCTTGCGGGTTCGGGTGGTGAAGAGGATAATCCCTTGCGCACTCTGGGGGAGATAATCGTATAGCCGATCGCCACCGTCATTAGCATCAAAGAGGACAGAGCTTTCGTCCACGTTGTCGACTACTATGAGCCATCTGCGCTTGGTTTCCTCGCTCAACTTCTTTCGAACTCGTTTGAGCACATCGACATCACAATCATCTGATTTTGAAGCCTTAAGCTGCAGCGCGATCTCGCGGTATGATTCTAAGAAACGCTCCTTGGTAAATGAAGAGACCCAGAAGACCGCTAGAGATGGATTGCCCTTGCGAGCTTGATAGGCGAATTCGACAGCGGCAGCGCTTTTCCCAGTGCCACCAATCCCGTAGATAGCAATGGATGGATGATGTTGAGGGTTATTGAGACAAAGTTTGAGTCTTTCTAGGAGCTTGTAGCGGCCAGTGAAATGAGGGTTTCGGTTGAATGGTAAAATCCATGGAACTAAAGAGCTGTATTAGCATGAAACTTTTACATGGTCCGATGACCAAATATGAGATAGTTGAGTGAAAATTTTACCCGGGGTCTCGTCGGATTCTGCTTCATTCTTTGATAAAATCACCTGGAGCAGCTCCTTTGCATATGCTGCTGCCGTAGCTGCGGCAAACGGCTGCCACCTCTTGTTTTTGTGTGAATCTGCATAATCGCAGATACCCCGGATCACGAGGCAAGGGAAGTTGTTCATCAGCCCAGCAGCTTCCATCTCGAAACAGAGGATGTTGCCGCCAAGATCTTCGTAGATCTTATCTCGTTCGACTCCGTCTCTAATAAGAGAGTTTGATGACGCAATCGTGCCATAGTGAACTTGTACCAGCTCCTCTTCTAGCCGTGGCTCTGTCACTATGAGCATTTTCTTGGAACACCGGTCACAATTGCTGCCTCTCTTGTGGGGATAATCGGGTGGGAAAAGGCAGTCCGGTCCGGCCTTCTCACGTCTGAACTTGGCCCTCCTTTCCCCAAGCTGCGATATGTATTCCGAAAATGAACCTTCGTCCAGCATATGTCTTCTTTGAACCTCGGACAAAGCATGCAGCAGAGGCCTTGGTGGCTTATTGAGATGGCTCGTTTGCTGAAATCGTCCATTCGGCAGACGCTTCCCCAGGTCAAATTGCACCACCCCGGCGTGGCCATGGCCGGGTTGGCTTACGACAACATCTCCCAGTCTGATGTCGATATCGCCTGGAATTCCACCCCCGATCCCGACGAGGAGACGATATTTGATGTTCGGAAAATGGCTGGTCATTTCAGTAGCGACAGTGGTGGCAGAGGTAAGACCGGGCTCACCAGCCGGGAGGCAAGCGATTACTACATTGTGACTATGGATTCGACCACTGGTATATTGCACGTTGACCTCTCCTTGGATTTCTGGTGACTGATGCCTGTCGTCCAGCATTTCCACGACGGCTGCGTATTCGACCGGTAAGGCTGTGATCAACCCGACCGTGTAAGCCTGCGGTGACAGAGGCGACTGATCCACTGATGCGTCTGACATGGTGGACACAACGCCTTAAGCGCAAGACTTCGCGGACGTCGTATCCAACAGGTATATGGGAGGGAGTCTGATGATTCACGAGAGTCCTGGGTCAAGGAAGGGGGCTGTGCATGCTTGTGTGGGGTGTGGGCAGCCAATATTTCGAGTTGGGCTTTTCAGCTGGTATCTGGATTGGGAATAGGTTGGGTTGATTGTGAGATGTCTGGTGCATTATCAAGAGTCAGCTCGACGCCTCTTGGCCCTGGAGCGGGGTTAAAATAATCTTGCATGATCATCGATCTCAAGACGGCTGCCTCAAACTAGTGAAATTATCTATCGACGCATTAAAAGCGATGAATGAAGAAGAGCGGACCTCAGACGACGGAGTGTCTAAAACTGATATCCCAAAAAGCCAGTATTATCTTGGGGCCGAGATGAAGCATCCAAGATCGACAAATGGTGTTGAATGTGAAAAGCTAGAAGGCCCCGCTGATTCCATCGAACACCTCGAAAACATGATGATAGGAATGAAACCTGACTCTCCAACAAGAGCAAATCAGCTTCAGAGTCTCGGTACCGCCTACAGGAAGCGCTACGACAAGACAAATTCCCTTGTTGATTTGAATAAATCTGTTAAGTACCTTGAAGAAGCTCTGAGGGCTTCTTCAGTAGATGAGCCCGACTACTCTGATCGTCTCCAAGACCTTGGCCTTGGATACGTAGAGAGATACCAAAAGGAATCCGAATTGGCAGATTTATACCAGGCACTTCAACATTTTCATGAAACTTTGGAATTATCCCCTCAAGGTCACTCTGATCGTGGAAGCCGATTACAAAACCTTGGGAATGCGCTATATCTTCGATTCCTTGTCGAGGAGAAACCGGAAGACCTTGACTACGCTGTGCAGCTACTTGAGGAAAGCATTGGGATTGAGACTACAAACTCTCGTAGAGCCCGTCAACTCAATGCTCTTGCAGTCATTTTGGATGAGAGATATGCTACAAAGGGGGATAATAGAGATGTTGAAAGAAGCCGTATCCTCCTTCAAGAAGCTGCAGATATAACACCACCAGATTCTGCAGAGAGAGCAATCGCGCTTCACAACATTGGAAGTCGTTATTCGGAACTATATCAGACAACTGGAGCCGCAATGGATCTTGAGAAATCTATGGAATTTTGCCATCAGGCGCTAGAAATCACACAAACGGACGACAAAAATCATGCAACCTTTCTCAAAGCTCTAGGTGACAGCCATATGTTGAAATTCGAAGATCAAGGTAAACAAGACGATCTGGAGCAGGGATTGAAGCACCTTCAAAGCGCAGTAGATTCAGCTTTGGATGGCAGCGCAGCCTGGCTCAGCGCGCTACAAAGTCTGGCTCATGCACACGTTACCCGTTATCAAAATTTTATGGCAATTTATGATTTAGAAGTCGCAATTCAACACTTTGGCAAGGGCCTAAACTCCTCCGCTAGTGTTGGAAAGAGATTACAAGCTGATCTTTCAATGAATATGGGTGGCTGTTACTTCCAGAAGTACGGAAGGAGCAAAGACTTGCGAGATCTAGAAGAGTCTATACGGCTGTTCGAAGCGGCTCTAAGCCTGACACCACTGGATCACCCTGATCGCCCCCAGAATCTCTCAAACTTAAGTGCTGCGCTTTCGGAAAGATTTGTGCGAAACAAATGTGCTGAAGATATAAATCGGTCCGTTGTACTAGGTAGGGAAGCGATTGATCTGACACCAAGAGGCCATCGTGACTATGCGCAGCAATGTCACAACCTTGGCTCCACGATACAAGATAGATACAGAATCTTTGGCTCGGAAGCGGATTTCAAGGAGTTTATTCAACTTTTCCAGGACTCCGTCGATGCGACTCCGGCCCATCGTCCAGAACGGGCAGACCGCCTTCAGCGGCTGGCCCTAGCCTATGGTGAAGCCCACAGCCAGACAGGAGCCACAGCAGATTTACAAAAGGCAATTGAAGTATCTCGAGAGGCGCTGGGTCATCAGAGCTCTCCGATACGGTATCGCATGCGTCCTGGAGTGAGCTTGTTGGGTGCGCTAGCCGCGATGAAACGATGGGAAGAGGCGTACCAGGTCGCGCACATGACTGTTCTCCTTGTTCCTCAACTCACACCTCGCTTCCTTGAGAACCTGGACAAACAGTATTTGCTGGATACTGCCGGCCAGCTATCCTGTGACGCTGCAGCCGTAGCATTGAATGCTGGGAGGTCACCCTTTGAGGCGATAGAGTTGCTCGAGACGGGCCGCGGGGTCATTTCTGGGTCGCTTAGCGAGATTCGCGGTGATATATCAGACCTTCGTGGGAAGTATCCCGAACATGCAGATCAATTTGTGCTGCTCCGAGACCAAATCGACACTTGCCGGGTCTCTGCCGCCTCGTCTGCCAGTACACGATACGATGCGGCCAAAAAGTTTGAGCAGCTCATTCAGGACATTCGCGCCTTGCCTGGTCAAGAACGTTTTCTTCTGGCCCCATCAGAGGAAGAGTTGAAAATTGCTGCGGATCAGGGTCCTATCGTGATGATCAATGTAAGCAAATTTAGATGCGATGCGTTGATTATCAAGCGCAACCAGATGAAGAGTCTACCACTACCTGATCTCTGCACCAATGACATCCAGACTCGCGCAAATTCCAACTTGGCCGATAATGATTTGCTTGAGTGGCTCTGGGATACCATAGCTAGGCCCGTCCTTGAGGAGTTAGAATACAACAAACCTCCTACTACGAGCAATTGGCCTCGTATTTGGTGGGTGCTTTCAGGGCTACTGACTAAGTTCCCCCTTCATGCAGCAGGCTGCCACTTCCCCAACGGCTCAGATTCAGTACTCGATAGAGCTATATCATCCTACAGTGTTTCATTAAAGGCACTCATTCTTGCCAGGAAGACCTCGACCAATAAAATCAACATGACTGGCCAAGAAAAGATGGTGCTTGTGCCTATGCAGAATACGCCCCTCCAGGGCAACCTTGATTTTGTCAAGACTGAGACCGACCGAGTAGCTAGCCTTTGTCAACAAACCCTGCGGGTCGACAAGCCTCGGCCGTATCGAGACGATGTTCTCTCGGCGTTGCGCCACTGCGAGGTGTTCCATTTCGCCGGACATGGGCAGACAGATATACTGGATCCGTCAAAAAGCTGTTTACTCCTGAAAGACTGGCGAGATGACCCTTTAACAGTGGCTCATCTTCTTGAGACAAATTTGTCCTCACGCAAACCGTTTCTTGCTTACCTTTCAGCGTGTGGTACCGGGAGGATGAAGGGGAACACACTTGTTAATGAAGGCCTCCACTTGATAAGCGCATGCCAAATCGCTGGATTTCAACATGTCATCGGTACATTATGGGAGGTAAACGACAGTCTATGCGTTGATGTAGCTGTCAAAGTGTATGAATGGATGCTCAGCAAAGCTATGGCAAACGTGTCGGCTAGCGAAGGTCTCCATCACGCAACTCGACAACTTCGAGAGCGATGGGTAGTGGAAAATGCCGCAAGAGGCGCAGTGAATCTAGGTATGATGAGGAAAATTGATGCAAACTGGAAGGAAAGTCCAGAATACGGGGGATCCAGGGACGCCGAAAGATGTGATGAACTTAGCCCGGCAGATTGGGTTCCATACGTCCATTTTGGGTTATGATATCGCCATGAGCCGATCATGATGCATGCGCTTAGAAGTTATAGCTATCTATCTTATTTAAAATATATTACGTTTGGGGGTAGAACTTAGCAGAATAAAGCATGGCTGTCCTCAAATTCCTACTACCGTTTGTCTTAGCTGAGGCTTGGTTGTTTGATATGGCACAAAGCTGAAAATTCCTAACTGTCCAATTTTCACCCGGTGTTAAACACACACACACACACACACACACACACACACACACAAATACACAGCTAGTCCTCTCTAAGACCGAATGGCCCTCCATCCATCTCTGTATCCGCCGCTTCGCCGTCCTCGATTTAGTCGCCCGCAACATTGATGTTTGCTAGCATGGTCGTGTAAGCCAACACGTATAAGAACATGCGCGACGAGTCAACGCCCCACCAGATGAGAAACACAAGGAATATGAGTACCCAGGCGACAATGATGACGATGTTTACCCATCGCGCAAAAGCCTCGGATGCCAAGACCACGAAAGGTGCCCCGAAGAAAATGCTTGCGACCAGGCTCGCTCCGGTTGATAGGAAGTTGACAAGCCAGCCGGGATACACTTCAATTTTGGGTTTGTCGACAATGTTAATGTCGGTGGACTTGACAAAAAATCCCTAGGCACGTCAGTCCACTCCGGGGGGGGGAGAAATACTGCCAACTACCTACCAAGAACCGGCCAATCTTGACCTTGTTGTTCATGATAATGGACCTCGCCCAGTCTTCGAAAAGGCGCGGGCTCCTGAGTGCCCTCCACTGCCTCGTGGTCCAAGGGTACTTTACCTTGCTTTCGCCTTCCATACTAATGTAGTCGAGAAAGACCTTGAGATCACGGCTGCACATCTTGTTGAGACCAGTCATGAAATGCCTATGCTGAGCTAGCTCCACTGCAGGGCGATCAGGTTTCATAGCACATCACCGATCAAGGTTGTCTCATGTACGGGACTTACTCGTGGAGAAGACCTTGCTGATTACCTGCTCCATCAGACGTTCTACGGTCGCATCATCGTTGTTGCGGATAGCGCTTTCGACCATGCCCCAGTCCCGATCGAGCCCATGCTCAAAGTAGGCCTGGGTGAAGGCGAACACATCGGAAAAGGCCCTCACGCCCTGGTAGTTTGGGTCCAGAGCCTGGAGCTTGCTTACACGGAGCAAGCCAATGTACTCTAGAGAGGCATTAGGTGGATCTTGGGCTCGGCATGCAACCAGGAACCTTACTCGATTTCAAATCAGAGTCGACATTTCCACTCGACTCGGTGGGGGGAGCTAATGGCCCGTGTCAGTTGAGGGCTAGACCCAGAGCGGGTCCAGGTGCATTAGAGCCGAACCTTGGTGCTCGCTAGTGCTAGGCACGTCCGCTGGCAGTTGGCCCGCCTCAGCGGCCGCTAGCGATCGCAGGGGGGTTGGTCTAGCGCTGTTCCCACTATCACCCGGAAGGCTGAACAGCCCAAAGCTTCGAGCTCGCTGAGCCATGAGGAGGTGCTTTCAGTTTCCTGCTTGTTTGCTTTGAGATGCCGTCTGATCTCTGGCATTTTCGCCGGACAGAGCCCGGTATTAATACGTCGGCCCGTCTTCTCACTTGAGAGTTGCCACAGCTCACGACCGATGCTGGAGTGTGGCCCAAGTGCAAGAAAAAATCATACAGCTTTACAGCACAGCCCGCTGACCAGTGTCGCCCAAACTACCTACCTTGACAATTCTCTCGACCGGTCAACCGCTCGACGACCATTAGGCGACAGACTAGGGGCGGGCCCAGCCCTACTTGTCATACTTGACATTCACACCGTCGCCTTTTCGGTCATATTTCCCACAGCGAGGAGGGGCACCCGACACGCATTTGGAGACATCACATCGGTCAGAGCTAGGCGATTCCGACTGGCACTTCCAATTCCAGCACGACGAGGATGATCTCACCAATATGCCCAGACGCATTCGGTCCGCTGTCTCGACTTGCTCTTTGATTGATCCAAATGCAGGCAGTACATTGCACAGCATTATTAGCCGAAGCGAGATGAGAACATTTTCCCTTGAGTGCGTGGTGAAGTTTCAGATTGAAATGTGCACCTATAAGCTGAGGAGAGCCCTACTTGCGTCCCGATCCTTTTCTCTCTCCCCTTCCCCACTTCTTCCCCCCTTTGGTCTCCCCTCGATCTAGGCACAGAGGGGCAGGGGAAACGAATCAGATCCCTACACACGGTGCTGGCACATAGGATATGTGTGCATTGTATGATCCCCGCTGACGTTTGCCCCCAGTGACGATGGTCTGTTCAAGCACGGATGCCTCTACTCTTGGTCAGCCGCAGCTTCGGGTGATGGGTTGTAGCAGAACCTACCAAGTTCCATGCCGGCAAGTTTCGCCCAGGACGCGAGAGCTACCCCGGGACAATGGTTATGCTGGGGGGGTCTTCAACCGGGGGGGTGGGCGCCGAGTTCTTGTGGCAGACACTCATCGTGGGCGATATGTACTGAGCAAACGTGGTGCTCGAGGTCCTGGGTGGCCTGTCTCAAGTGGATGTTTAGGGAGTTGTGGTTGAGAGTTAAGATCAGATGAGCGAATGATGGGCCCATGAACCTTTTATGCCCGGCCCGGAATAGCATCCACCACAAATCGGTTGAACCCATGTTTTCTTGGGGCTAGTGATGCGGTTTAGATGATCATACCAGAGTGGAGGCAGGAGACGAGCGAGGAAAGATATCTCAACCATTTGGGCCAGTAAGAAGACACGCTTACCCGCTCAAGGTCCAGGCAATGCAATGGGGCTGATCGGGCACATATCCGATTCATCTCTGCCCAGAGGCTAGTCGACCCCGGTCCTATCAGGTTGGACATGAGAACATGGTCAGTCGGCGCGAGGCGGCGAGGCGGCGATCGTTGGACTCCCCCTTGGCACCGCGGCAGCCCACAATGCCAGACCATGGGGCGAGGCTTTCGTGTCTCGATGTTCTCGCCAATTCTTGAGATCAGTCTGCCGCAAGCTGGGGCAGGAGGACGAGCTTCTCACTTCTTGCAGGGTGGAATGGTAGATGGCAAGATTGGTAGGGAAGCTGTGGAGTGGAGAGCCTCCTGCACCAATTTACTTCACTTTCTTGAGCGCCTTAGCGAAATACTGGGCCGCCACAGCTTCTGCCTGGATTTCAGGAGGCTAAACCCCAGTCGAACATGGCCAACGCAGCCATATCGCCGACTCCCCGAGCCCCATTAGTCTTTTAAGTCTGTCTACATGCAAGACCATGACCTGCAGTAAGAGAATGGCCCACGAGAGGAGTACGCAGGCATGATGCGGTATGTTCGACACAGGGGGAAAATGGATAAATCGCCTATCGACGTCAGCGGGGTCTTCATCAGATCAGCAGGCAAGAGAAGTCAGTCACATGTTATGTTTGCCTCTGTCCACTCATGCCGGCTTTCGATACATTGTTGAAAGATCAGCTCAATGAGCCCGCGCTCTGAACATCGGCCACAATGCAGGCAGGCTCAAAATTCAACCATTTCTGCCATCATCCTCTGGATTTCATAATGGAAGCGGGACATCTCACCCTCCCACCGGATCAACACATCGCCGATCATCCACATCGTTCCCCTTACGGTACTTGAAGCAAGTACCTCCCGTATTCGTAACTGTTGTGCCACGGAAAATACGATGCCAATCATCCACTTCTTCTCAACATGGGTATTTCAACCGTCAGCTTCACACAATGTGCCAAGCTCGCAGCTTACGACAGTTAAGTAAACAATTATATTTCTTCAATTGGCCACTTAAATTACAGTCATCACTTGCGCAGCTCATTGTTGGGGCTGCATCTGTGTGTTTCCCGCTGCATGATCGCCGATTGGGCGGCGTAGATGTCTTCATTTCCATTTCCACATGCTATCACCTGTTAAATACAACATGGCGCCCGCTGCATATCACTTTTTAACATGCTAAAGTATTTTCAATACTGACAGCACCTAAACATTATATTGAATTTGTATTCTGGTGCCTAACCAGGTCTCTATTCTTCGCGAGTGCGCCTACGAGACAGCCTCACGAAAAATTAGCTTCAGGAGGTGAGACAGACGGTACTGAACAGTCCCGTAGGATAAATGGATTCAGTCAGGATACACTTAACTAATACGAGTCCATGGTGCTCCAGCCATCGTGGTGTCGCAGCTCATGGTCAAGTTATTGGTGTCAGTGTTGAAGGCGAGGTCTGGACTGACGTTGACAATCCTTGCCAATGACTCAGCCTACTGAACTAATCTGGGAACATGGGACGGGAACCGTTCCCGGGGAATGGAGATCTGTCGGTGGGGTAGAAGCCACTCATGTAGGGTTAAGGGCCGAACCAGTGGGTGGACGCGAGATCGTGATAAGGCCCTGCTCCAAATGGCAGGGCACATGCTGTGCAGTATGCACCAAGGACAAGCTGGGATGCTTGATAAGATCAAATTCAGCTGACATATGCTTCCCCTCGTTTAGCCCTTTTCTCACTCCCTTCAACTATTCACCATGCTTTACGGCAACTACACCTTCAACTCCCAGCACTCCACTTACTACGTATAGTAACAGAACTAGAGTGACAAGCCTCTGCACCAATTTACTTTGTCTCACACTTGCATAAGATACACAGGTGCTCTCCACTTACAAAGCCAACATGAAGAAATATCAAAAATGAAGTCTGTTCCGAAGATGAGCTGTCACAAGCACTGGCAGTCGCTACTACCGGTAGGACGCTAGGAGAGCCCTTCTTTTTCCTCTTTTTCCGAGCCTGCCCACTTGACTTCCATCTTCTGCAATATCCAGGACCAAACTTCCTCTCCGTCTCTCTACTTAAGGGCTCCGTTCCACTTGAAAGGCATTTTCACAGCCCGACCACGACACACTGCCGGACATCGGCTCAACACATTTGAGACCTCTTGAGAACCTCACAAATGTCTTGACTCTTTATTTAATCGATTCAAGAACTATTCGTCGCTTTTCATCACATAACATACCCAAGTCCGCGTACTTCTGCACTGAACTGCATGTTGTCTTCGTCTACTTATTTTATGTCCTGCCGGCTGATATCCGCATCTTCCGATCGTAACCATATTGTTTCGTTTATTCGTTTGTTCGGCCGCCCGCTCGTCTCTCCACCCGCTCAACCGTTGACCCGTCCGTTTTTTTGTTTCGTTGATTCGTTCTGTCACTGTCGTATCACCGTCGTATCGTCGGAGTCAAACAAACCAAAAAAGCCTGGAATACCAATACCAGGTGAATCTGGGAGAGAATCGACTGTTCGCAGGGGGGCAATATATATCTCTGGCTCGCAGCGTTGGGAAGCAACACATAGTTGGGAGTGCATTCTTCCAGATACCTGAATAGCTGATTTGTCAGATGTGGTGCACCAAGTCCACTTGGGTTTACACCAAGCCCATTTGTTGAACAATGGATGACTTCATCACACATTAGCCATGGTTGGTTGCCAAGGTGCTACTAGAAGCCAGCAAAGAATTGCGCGCAGCTGACCACATTCGCGTGGAAGCTATTGGAACACTTCACCCACGACCACCACACCACTTGTTTGTCGTGGTGCCCCAAGGGGGATGGTTATAAATGAGAGGAAATCTGTCATAAGAAAATCGTCACAGACGCTCATTTGGCCAAAAAGAATTCTCCCCTTTTTGTCTCTGTTTCAGCGCTGCACGGCCTCACTAGAAAGGGGCAACACCTTGGCGAAATATTGGGCCTTCACCGGTTCTGCATGGATTCTAACAAGCTATACCCCAGCAGTTCTAGGCCTGCAGGTTTACAACCCCCCCAACCCCCATCAACCACTCAACTAATGCAGATTGGACAATGACGGCGACCAATAACTAGCCCTCCCAGGCCGAGTGGGTGTAATTATCACCCTTATGAATTGGTCACTCTCTTGGGCCCAAGACATGTGAGACTCGGCTTTCAGCCAGCCGAGAGAAGGGGTTCGCTGGTTGGGAAATATCCATCCAACAAATCCGTTAATTCTTAGGTAAGATCGGCACCTCAAACATTACCAGGGCACGAAAAGTAACATTGCAGTCATGGAGGCTTCACGGGGTTTATGCGTACTCCAAAGTCCCTTTTTCTTTTGCTATGTAGGCATGGTAGGGCAAAACTAAGGAGGTCCACGCAAGTAGCATCCACAGAGTTACATCCAACCAATGGGGAAAATGAGACAACACGCCCCCCCCCCGATAATCACGGAGGAGGGAACGGGTTTTCCTGCAAACTGCGCCACTTTACCACTTAATTCGGTCAATGCCTT